CGACTTTTATGTTGATTTAAATGAATGTACAGTTTTTTTATGTGAGGCTCATGCCTGTACACCATAGAAAGCACTTAAACGTAATTTTATTAATTACTACAAAATTTTATGCCTACCATGTATAATTGAAATTTATTTTCATACAAATCACTGTTTTGCTAAATATAATGGTTGTTCCCCTAAAATACTACAGTTAATTCCCCGTATAATATACGCACACAATGTGTTTCAAAACACTTGACACTATCGCCGTAAGATTGAGATTATATTTCATTGTATAATAGGGTTATAAATCCAATAAAATCCCGTCAATTCCCAGTACAGGGAACGGTATGCGTAACAAAAAGAAACACTTTAACCATACGGTGCACACATACACATCCCTGTCCAATATATTGTGCGCGTAAGTGAGTGGGAAAGGGATGCAAAGGGGATACATGGAGGGTATACAGCTTTTAATACTCACATCTCATTAGACTCTAAACGCAAAGAATATTCTGTATGTCAAAGAAAATTAGATTAATTATAAAGGTTTTAATTTAATTTGAAATTTATATATATGCAGTATATTTTTAATTTTAATTCATACGGGATGAGTTTATAAATGTTTTTATTTTATTTTTGTTTATTTATATTGAAATGTGCTGTATAATTATTTTTTTAGAGATTTAAACTTAATGGTTAAATCAATAAATAGTTATAATAAATAAAAATAGAAATGTTTTCTACTATACATATACGAATGCAAATATTATTTGTATAAATGCAAGCTATTAATATACAATATATTAAAATGAATGTTTGCATTAATATATGTATTTGTTTCATACCGTGTATAAAAATAAAAATAAAACTCCTATTACATATTAATATAATTTATATATACTGTATATATAATAATTCATATGTATGTTGAATCTATATTTTTGTTACTTTTTGTGTGATATAAAAATCTTAATTAACTTATATTTTTTGTGGATAATTATTTGAATATACATTAGCCGTCGTAAATATAATGAATATAATGTACAAAATAATCTAATATATTAAAAATTGTTTTCAACACTAATGGAAAAAGTACATTTAATGATAATAGCCAAAAAAACTATGTGAAAATTAAAATATGTTTTTATACATACTACATAAAATATAACTCATCATAATTGCCAGTATTAATTAATTTATATATGGAGATTGCATGTTAATTAAAAATATAGCACTCAATGCGATAATTATAATAATTTGCGATATAACATTTCGCAATCAAAATTGATTGCCTTAATTGAAAAGTTATATTGGACAAAATCATATTAATGGAATTAAAATATTATATATTTTTAAAAATAATTTTATCATAGCATTATAAGTTTATGAATATTGTGTTTCAAATTGCTGTCCAGATTTTTGACAACATATTTCGTAGTCGATATGAAAATTAGATATTTTTAATTAAATAATGTATTAAAATATTATATATTTTTCTTTCAGAGAGAGAGAGAGAGAGAGAGAGAGAGAGAGAGAGAGAGAGAGAGCTCATAGTAAATACAATGTAAAGCCCTATTAAATGCAAAATGCATTGAATCTAATTAAAAACACTTTCAAACTGTAAGTATACATACTATACAGCAGTGGTTCTCATTCTATAAATATAGTGACAACTAGAATTGTAACAACTTTGCATTTTAAAGCATTTCATTCAACACTAGTTATTATATTAATCTCTATCACTTAAAGTTAAGAGTCATAATTTGAAAATGAATTTTTTTATTAATTATTTATTCAAACAAATATTTATTAATAAAACAAAACACACCAGTTATGATATGAGTCTAAACTTGATTATTTTTTTTGTTTATTTTAAGTACTTATAACTAACAAATATTCATATATGAATTGTCAACCTATTAGTTTTGAAATAAAATATTATATTGATTAGTAAGGTGAGTAAGGTGATATTAATAAATAAAATAACTAGTGTTGAATCAAATCCTTAAAAATGCTTTTAAATGCAAAGTTGTTACAAGGCTAGTTGTCACTTAAGTGACAAATTGAGAATCAGTGCTATACAGTAATGCATATACAGCACACATATCTTAAAATACTTATCAAAAACAAAATACAGTATAATTTTTGCGAAATAACATTGAAATAGAAATTTTAATAAAATGTTGAATTAATGGGAAAAGAATTTATGTTTTTCTATAGATTTGTTTTCAAATCTAAATAATTTATACAGCATAATAAAAATAAACATATACAATATAAATAATGCTAAGTTAAATATATAATAAATATACATCAATTACAAACTTATATAGAAAGTTTATAAATTTGTTTAATTACTATGATGCCTTAGTTGCCTAATAAAAACATATAAATATTTTAAAACTAAAACCTAATTATAAACTCATTATACAGTAGACATGTCTAAGCTTATTACACCCAGACATTAGTACACATCCAGACATACGGGTATAGTCTATAAAATAGTTGAGATAATCAAACAAAACGACCCAAAAAACTCTAATAGAAAACAACAACAAAATTTGCGCCCGAAATGCCACTCCACGGCAGTACACGCATTGGGAATGTCTATAAGTTTTTTAGTGTTGAATACACAGAATATTCTGTATAATAGATACCATACATAGAAAGCCACTAACAATTGGCTCAAATGGGATTATTTTGCGAGAGAATATGTTTAGTATGAAAATTTGTAGCCAAACACACAACAAACACACGGCAATACTAAACAAGGACATAAAATAAAAACTACCAGTAAAGTAATGTCTAGTGTTTTGTGTGAGTGTATGTGTTATTTTTATTTTACAGTAAGTGGGAACGGTATGCTATTTCTATGTATGTATGTGTGTTGGCCGGGTATTATAAAAACAGGTCTAACACTGACTGAGATTGTAATTTATTTTTATGGCCCTAAAATGTTATGTCTCTCTCTCTCTCTCTCTCTCTCTCAATGATGGCAAAAAACTCAATCTTTTATTCATACGATACACTAATATCTAGTTAATACATTTTAGCCATCATTTACCCACAAAATACATTGACATACTATGAATTGAACGGTAGAGTAGGACTTAACCACAAAATACATATACGAGTGGATATATTCCGATTGAAAACCTCATAAAATGTAAGAAAAAAATCAATTCTCTATTGTATTGCAAATGAATGGTTTTGTTTTTTCGACTGAAACTCTATTTGATAGCAAATAATAAATTAAAATCAATTTCTTATATACTATACACACAAAAAGTATAACTCATGTATAAAATATAATGCATTTTGCTTTAGGTTTTTCTAACATAACAAACACAGAATATTCTTATTTCTAAATCAATACCAATGTTTTACTTTCACTATCCATTTGTCATGCAATAAATATTAATATTAAATCTTATTTCATAAAATTAGGTGAATTTTATGTGTTTTATGTGTTTGTCTTAATGGACTGTTGTGTCTGGTATTCAACGATTAAATTGCAGTCATTCCTAACTGACTAAAGAATATTCTGTATTAAGAATGCATAACATGTTTATCTCAAATATAAACAACAGTAAAGCCCTTATTGTGTTGTGAAATAAGGCTTAAAAAGCAAATAATTTTCATTCAATAGGAAATAAAACGATTTGATTCTGTGGGCGCACTCGGATCCCGGTGCTCAGTAAGCCTTAAGTCATCCCATTTGTATGTAATTTAATATCAAATATTGGTTTAAATTCAGCGAAAAACCAAAGCCTGAAAAATCTATTTTTGATTTCACACTCGATTAACAATTTAAGACAATTTTCATACGCTTTCATAAACACATTGTTACTGTATATGCCTTTCCCTTTTGGCTACCGGTGTCATTGAATTAGATATAAAAATGTTGACAGAATTTTGTGTCAATTCTGTGTGCATTTTATTTTGACACATATCTGTGATTTGGGTTTTATTTTCTATGTTTTAATATAAAATGTTTGAATGCTTTCGAAGTTTTATATTACGGTAACAAATCCCGAGTTGGCCGATGATGTGCAACGGGTTAGCCGTGAAATGATTTCGAGAAATGACAGTATATTTTGGAGTCGAGAAAAAAGTGCAAATTATACTAAACATAAAGTTTGGGGTAAATTGTAATTTCATTCATAATTTATTTTTTATTGCAATTTTTAAATATTTTTATGTTTAAAGGCTGTTATAGTTTAGTATAAGAAATATTTTGTAATTATATTTTAGTATATTAATTAATATTTGGATGATCTCGGTATTGGCTTTATTAATTTAATATCTATTAATTTTTTGTTGATTGCTAATATTTGATTGCTATTATATTTCAAATTTTATAAGTTTTGTATCAAAAACTGTTATTAAAAATTTCAGAAACTAATTTGCTATTATTTTTATGTAGAGATTATTTTGGGGATATCCACGCGATAAGTTTTATTTTTAACAAAACCTTTAAAGTACTTTTATTGCATTAAATATTATTTTAAATATAATTTATTTGTTTGACTATCTGTATGATAATCAATTTAATTGAATATGAATGACATGGACTTGTAAGTATAATACAATTTATATTGGGTGTATTTTAAGTTTTTCAAAAGGTTTAACTTTTGACAACTCTTCATAAATAAAATTAATTTCTAATTAAAATTATTTCACATAAAACAAATTGGTTAGTATAGCTATTGTTATATATTTTTGAATAATTGTAAAAATACTACACTACTCGCAATGACTAACAAATATAAATATAACAAATTTTTAAATTCAACGAAATATACCCAAGAAATAATAAATTATTAAAAAAAACTGTAACAAATATTAATATAATATTTTTAATTATAGTATATTGAGTGACAAATAATTGGCCGGACAATCAGACAAACCTAACACCCATATTTTAGTTGTACATAAAAACATATTAAATTATAATTTAATGAAATCTATAATAAAAACTAATTTTAGGTAAAAATCTGAGACAACACTACGAAATGCAACTGAAAGACAATCTCACAGTTTTGGATATATTGGAGAACTGGGGCTTGGATTTAGACACCGTATGTCGGGTGTACTCCCACCCCATCGCCGACACACACAATACGTACCACTTTTGCCACAATATATCCCGAGTGATAGAGACCGTAAACTATAAGTACCGGTGCTTTACGTATTTCAGTCAACTAAACACTACCGGCACTAATAGCTCGCTATTTAAGACATCCATGTTTTGGTCGCCGACTGACAGGGAGTCGTATAAAGAGGACATGGCGTACATCGCTATGGAGACCAATCTTAGCCATCCTATGGATCCGTTTGATAAGACATTCAGAGCCAGACTAACTGTGCACTCGCCGCATATGATACCATTCCCTGGGTTTTACACTAATCTTAGACTAGTGGGTGATTGGGGCCGACAGTACAACATAATGTTCTCCCGGACCTCATCCCACCTCCTGGAGCCCCCTTATGTCACAAATTGTCGCGACTATAACCACCGGAAAGGGGTCTCAGGGGACAGGGAGACTATCATAGAGTCATACGACATGTGTCTAACTCATTGTATACTCAAGAAGTACAGGGAATTGTGTCACTGTTTGCCGCGTTATGGTCTCATATACGCCAAGACATGGCTCACCAGTGATGACCACTTTTGTCCGAAGCAGTCATTGTGTCAGACGTTGAATATCCGGCAGAATTGCTCGACAGTGTGTCGGCCCGACTGTAATCAAGAACAGTTTGCAGCGGAAGTGGTGGCAGATATGCGTTGGCTGGACATCAACAACGGCACCGGTATTAAAGTGGGCCGTAAGCCGGTTCCCGACGGCGTGTATAGACACACGCCGGCTGTGTCGTGGATACAGTTGGTGTCGGACGTGGGAGGGCTGGGAGGCCTGTGGTTAGGGTTTTCTGTGATGGCTTTGGCTAAGAGTGCCTTTCGTTTGATGAGAAACACTCGTCGACTGAAAGCTAATTCATTAAGAGATTGAAGAGTTTTTGGGTCAATACAGACACTAGAGATGTGACCTAAAAGTTGGAGTAATTTTTGTTTGTTTTGCGGACTCTATGTAGTGATAGAGTGAATGTTATACTAATATTAAGTTGTATACGATTTAATGAAAATATATGTTATCGTGGTTCAGCACTAATAATATGTGTTTTATTTTTTGTTTGTAATTTATATTACATGTTAAGTGATATCATAAAAATATTTTAGCTTTTTATGTTTTTATTTTAATTAAGTGAATTTTACGAAAGTGAACTTCATGTCTTAATGTCTTAATGTGAATATCTAAATTATTCAACAAACATTTATATATCAGATCTTAAAATAATAATATAATTAAATTATTTGATCAGTAACTTATTACCAATAAGTGATCTGAACTTTTTTATTGTCTAAATTATATTTTCTAAACCAGTGAATTATAATAATAATATTAAATGACTTTTCTCTATTAACTTCAAGCATAGTTAAACTTTATTTATGCAACCCTTAAACTAACGTATGAATTTAAACTAGTTAATAAAAACTTTTAAGCATTAAGTTCAGGAATTTTATATTTTTGCCATTATTATTTGTAGCCAAATGAGCTGAATAATAACATTTTTAAAGAAAATTGAAAAATAAAAAGTAAAAATCTAATTCAAAAAAGTCATTTACTTTTTTTACTTACTTTACTTTTTTGTGATATTTTTCTGTTTATATTATATTATTGTATATTTTCCCTTTTAATTTTTAATTAAAGTGAATTTGAGTACTTTATAGTAAACATCGTGTCTTATGTGTATGTCTTGTCTTTATAATATAAACACACAGAATATTCTGTACTATTTCTATATATATTCTAAAGTCAAGTATAAAGTGCTTATTGCCATTGCGTGTCGACTATATTTGCGCACAGAATCCTTACATCACTGGTATATACTGTACAGAATATTCTGTGTGTAATACATATGCCAATATCTTTTAGCTACGATAGTAACGTACGTTACATACTTTAAGACACGGCAAGTCCCCCAAATGATATTCTGGTCAAGGGTGTGGTCTGTAGAGTTGGTATTGCCTCGGCAGCTATGTGAAGTCAAGAGCTTTTACTATCGTTTATATGTATAAATGCTATAATATATGAGTGTATAATAAAATATTGTATGCATTTAGCGGTAGAGAATATTCTTGACTTTCCATATCATATATGAATTGTGTTGTTGTTGTTATTATTTTGTGGTCTGAAAATCAATTGAATTCTTGCGTTGTTTTCTGCATTAATTAATAATAAGTTTTCATAAATATTGATAGAAAAATCTACATGAATATATTGTCGTTTTAATAGAATTTGTTATATATTTTAATACGGTCATAAATATTCACAAACTTTCAGTATAGCCCGGGAAATAAAGTTATTACTTATGATAATAATATTCACAGGAATTAGGAAAATATTCTGTTGAATGTATGATACCAAATTATTTTTATAGACTGTTTATTAATACTTTGAGCACAATTTACGTTTATTATACTTATTGACCGATTTTCACTACCTTTCCCTCTAGGAGACACAAAACGATAGTATACATGACTGTCACTTAGGGGACGAAGAGATACCGAAGATAATGAACTCTTCATTTATATTTAAACCAACAAAAACGGGTCAGTCGTGTATTTTTGGCACTTTTTTCTCGTAATATATTATACTTTTGTCTGTCGATACGTCTGAGCAATCATTTTGTAGATCTCTTTATTATATGTGTTTTCCTTTGCAACACAAAACTTCTCTCTCTCTCTCTTTCTCTCTCTCTCTCTCTCTCTCATCCATTCATTTATTCTGTCTTTTATTTATATATCGATTTTGTTTGACTCGCAAAAATAAATATGAATTTTTGTGTGCAAATACTGGTACTAGCCTCACATATATAGACATAATAAAAGTCACAAAAATGTGTATTTTAAATATTTTATTTACATTTCACACACCGAAATCTTAGCTATTAGTTTTTTTTGTGTTCACAATTTCCATATTACAATATTTTTTGTATTCATTTCAAACTTTTTGCAATTTATGTGGTAATCGTGTTGTTTTGCAATGTATTCACAGATAAGACATTAGGCGAGGACTGTCTGATTGGCACTGAATGCTCGCAATCTATGCATTTGTTCTGTGTTTCAAAGGTCTGTCTGTGCGATGACGGCTACCATAAGTCCGATAATAACACGTGTGTCACCGATTCGCCGAAAACTGGTATGTAGTCCCATCACTTGAGATCCCTTTCCCCTCCCATCCCTCTCTCAACTATTCCTAAAGTAAATTACCGCCCATTATGTACACATTAAATACAAGTAGCTTTTACGTAAGAATTCAATTAATTTTATTTAATATACCGTAATATAATCTGGAGATTGGTTTTTGTATTAGATTTTGTGAATCAAAATACAAAATTCAATATATTTGTAGTGTTATTTAAATTTAATGTTATATTAGTTTTCAAAATACATACTGTTTTTGAAAATTCAATTTAAAAACAAAACGAGACTACAGTTTAGGTAAATTTGTTTAACAAAAATCTTTAACAATGGCATTATATTTTGAAGCTTTCGTAAGTTTGTAAAATATAATTTTGTATCTTTTATTTTGGGTTTAGTGTCTATACACAGTTTTATTTTACGTGTGTCTTAACTGTGTTTTAAGACAGTTGGTTTTTATATCTAATTCAATGACACCGGTAGCCAAAAGGGAAAGGCATATACAGTAACAATGTGTTTATGAAAGCGTATGAAAATTGTCTTAAATTGTTAATCGAGTGTGAAATGAAAAATAGATTTTTCAGACTTTGGTTTTTCGCTGAATTTAAACCAATATTTGATATTAAATTACATACAAATGGAATGACTTAAGGCTTACTGAGCACCGGGATCCGAGTGCGCCCACAGAATCAAATCGCTTTATTTCCTATTGAATGAAAATTATTTGCTTTTTATGCCTTATTTCACAACACAATAAGGGCTTTACTGTTGTTTATATTTGCGATAAACATGTTATGCATTCTTAATACAGAATATTCTTTAGTCAGTTAGGAATGACTGCAACTTAATCGTTGAATACCAGACACAACAGTCCATTAAGACAAACACATTAAACACATAAAATTCACCTAATTTTATGAAATAAGATTTAATATTAATATTTATTGCATGACAAATGGATAGTGAAAGTAAAACATTGGTATTGATTTAGAAATAAGAATATTCTGTGTTTGTTATGTTAGAAAAACCTAAAGCAAAATGCATTATATTTTATACATGAGTTATACTTTTTGTGTGTATAGTATATAAGAAATTGATTTTAATTTATTATTTGCTATCAAATAGAGTTTCAGTCGAAAAAACAAAACCATTCATTTGCAATACAATAGAGAATTGATTTTTTTCTTACATTTTATGAGGTTTTCAATCGGAATATATCCACTCGTATATGTATTTTGTGGTTAAGTCCTACTCTACCGTTCAATTCATAGTATGTCAATGTATTTTGTGGGTAAATGATGGCTAAAATGTATTAACTAGATATTAGTGTATCGTATGAATAAAAGATTGAGTTTTTTGCCATCATTGAGAGAGAGAGAGAGAGAGAGAGAGAGAGAGACGTTTTAACTGTACTCATAAAATGATCAATCAATTCAAGTATTTCATCCCTTTTTATTTGACACAAGAATCATAAATTCTTGGCCAGAATTCATATCAAGCGCACAATAAAAAGTTCAGATGTTATGCAACTGTATGCCAAAGAAAAGCACAAAAAAATTCTTACAGAATATTCTGTGTTTAGAAGATTTCGTTTGCTATTTAAATAAATAATAAATTTGACAAAAATATATTATTTTTCATATTAGATAAGAATTTGTGTGAATAAGTCGATGACTGAAAGTCTTTGATATGAACTCTCTCTCTCTCTCTCTCTCTCTCTCTCTCTCGACATTAGTTTGTATTACATATAAAAACCTTTGTTTCTATACTAATATACAAAAGCTTTTAGACAATAATATCGTGCAATAAAAATAATAACACAAATAGCTAAACATAAACATATTGTAATAAATTAGTCATAGCTTTCATTTCATTCATTCATTTGCAGGCATTTAAGGAATATTTCATAATATTTTGTTTTGTATAATAAATGAAATTCTTTTGTATTATTATGTCTAACATATATTTAATAGATATAAAACTTAAATTATTATAATTAAAAATGTTATATTAAATTACATCATAAAATGCTTTTATATTGAATTTTATTTCTATTATTACTATAAAATAGTATTTCTTTATTATTTGAATTTATATTTTTAGCAAATATTTTATTATTTAAACTATTAAAATAGATTTATTGAAATTTTAGATATTTATACATTATATAAATTAATGTAGTACTGAGTGTAGTACTACTGAGAATGTAATACTGACATTAATCAGTATATTATTATTTTATTTAATCCGTATAATAAACTAGTATGACAGTATGATACAATACGTTATAATGCCATTAACTTTTATTTTTTTTTGCAAAAATGAATATGTTTTAGGGTCTGCTAAATATTTTGCCTTTCAATTACATTTGTGTGTGTGTGTGTGTGTGTGTGAGTGAGTGAGTGAGTGAGTGAGTGAGTGAGAGAGAGAAGTTAACAAGAATATAGTAAAAATCTAATTAACATTAACAAAGTACTAATCTTTACCTATTTTTTATCTATCAATGCAATTAATTGGAGTGAAATGAGATATAATTAGAAATATATAGTCGACTAAAAGGGATGAAAAGGTATACTAAAAAACTCTATTATATTCTGTGAGCAGTTTAACGACAAAAACTACACCTATTCTTATGGATCGGCAG